CACCCCCTATGATAAGCTTGTTTTTTAATAGTCCATTATGCATAGTAAAATTGTTAATGTACCTCAACTCTAACAGAAGATCGTGCTCTGATCATTCGTTGTACGCTTCGCATAAAATGCTAAGTTCAAAAATAAGAGCTGTATTCTGGAATAAAGCCTCCAATGGCTGACCTTTGGGTAAACCATGTGGGCGATAATGTGAGCAGCGTTGGGAAAGTTTGCGATTTCACGAAGTTCATCAAGGAAATCGCGAGTCGTATTGAGTTTTGGTGAACTTTTTCAATACTGAATGTGAGGATTCATCAAGCTCGATGCTCATAGTTACTTCGTAGTTCTTTTCGTACGAATAACAGCATAACGTAGGTGTTCCACCATCCCCGTCGTATAGTCGGGATCCATTTGCTCAATATTGATGAAATTCTTGGTGTAGCTTTCCAAATTTATCACCAAAGGCAACCGTCGAGCATTTTTCACAATTATTCCATCATCGAAAACGAATCGTCTATAGAGGTAACTGAAGTGAGGCCCGAATAGAAACTGTTCCAGATAAAAAAAATGACGATCCGCTGAGATTTGTGCTGTGATTCGGAAGAGACGGACTTAGTTTTGCTAGGTTTGAAGAGATTCACGATTCAGGCAAAACTTACAGAATTTTTCGAAAGATCCTCAACACCGGTGGGTACACGTTTGTTGTTTTTAAATTCTTGATTGAATCCTTGTATTACCAATTTTATGCAAGGTTGCAAATACTCATTTCAGCTTTAACAATGTTTTTTCTAAATTATGAAATAATTAGATGCCATGATCAAATTTTGAATTGGTAGGATACAAGAAGAGGTTGCAAAGAATGTGTTTGACATATTAAACCTGTTTATTTCACTTCATGAGAGTCACAATCAGCGATTTTTCACAAACTCACTCACTCATTCACTCACTCACTCAGCGTTAAGAAAATCGCTGATTGTGACTCATAGAAAGCAAAATTTACAAATTTTATGTTTCAAACGCATACTTTGTAACCTCTTCTTGTAAGTTACAAGTTAAACATGCCATCATACCATCTTTTGGTTTTATTATTCCGAAAAACATTATTTTAGCTGAAATGAGTATTTGCAACCTTGGTTTTATGATCCTAGGTTTTATGTATGACACTCTCTCACTAGCTTCATTTATGAGTAAACAAAGTATTGAACCGAGTAGTAAAGCTTAGCAACGATTGGCAAAACGTCGACACTCAACAGTGATGCCGTTTTATATTATATTGTTTGTTAATGTGCCCATGCTGTGTTTCGGCACAGTGTGCAGAGTTGATTGCCCCTTGCGTACACGTGAAATTGTCACCAAAAGCAAGGTTCCAGATGCTCACTACTCATTATTAACATTTATCCAAACTTTTTTCCCGCACCCAATTCCCATTAATTTTAATACATCGAGATAAATTAGTGCCTTCCAACACACCTGCCTACTTTTTATATGAGGTGTACCAAAATCCGTAAATCGGATTTTTCGGATTTGTTTTTGTGGAGTAGTGGTCGAGTAAGGAGCTAAAAAAACCATCATGTGAACCAATAGTAAATAGGCCGCGCTTAAACTGACGTGTGATTTTTTGCTATGTATAGTATTTTGACTATATGTTTTAGTATTACTTCTACGTGAAGTCAACGATTTACATAGTTGAAGATGCTAATTTCAAATAACAGACTGTAGTGGTAATTTTTATACGATAGATGGAGTAGATGAAAGCATGGAGTTGATAGTTCCGTTAGAGTACGGCAGTGTGAAGATTGCATATAGATATTAGAATAGAGGGGAGTTTGGTAAAGAGAGATGAAAAAACCGATTTTTACCTTCCTTAAAAGTTGTCCTAGCTCGCTATTCTAATATATATATGCAATCTTCACACTGCCGTACTCTAACGGAACTATCAACTCTATGCTTTCATCTACTCCATCTATCGTATAAAAAATACCACTACAGTCTGTTATTTGAAATTAGCATCTTCAACTATATGTATAGTATGTTTTTCCGCTGATTACTTCAAAAATTTTAATTGAGTTTTGATTCGGCTGGTTTGGGGCTAGCACTACGTTTCCTGGACTGTTCCTTATTCCAATCGTGAAATCAAATCGAACCAGAATTCAAACCAAAAACTGAACTGATGTAGGACAATGTAGAAGTTCTACGACTTCAGAAGGGAACGCTCAATATGTTCGATCTACAAAAGTCAAGTTTCGCAAATAAGCTGTTGTTGGAAGATAAGGACATAAGCGCTCAAGAAATCTTAGACCTTCTTAATGACATCATAACATTTCTGTTCCTCCTGCATATAAGCTTCGTGCCGATGTTCCTAGTAATTGTGGATGAGCTTAAACGCAGTGAATTCCAGAAGGAATTCCGGAGAATTCCAGCTGAGCTTTCTCTTCCTAGTTTCGAACAATTTCATTTTCAATAGCTGGACAGCCTTGTTGGTGGATGCCATCATGGAAATTTAGCACAATGCTAAATACTGGGAGAAGGAGAAACAAACGACGCCACAAGCCGAAATCTCAAAACAGCTACAAATTTGTCTGCAAATATATCCATCCGATCGGTGATGGTATCCGTTAAGTCAAGCCTGGTGGTAGCCTTGAGTCATCGTTACAATCCGTGCATTCTGTAACACCGGACAGAATTATACAATTCAGCAAGTCCAGCATCACTAGTATCTCATCCGCAAGAACTTCAGCACCAGTTTTCAGTTGCGTACGAAATTATTGCAGAAAAATATGTCAACCGGTTTCAGCCCACCGATGATGACATATTTCAACACAAAAATCAGGTTGCTATGTGTATTTGGCTCAGAGTGGCTCAGAGCTACTCAACATTAACTCCGATTTTACTTATGATCAAAAGCTGTCTTGCCCCTTGTATAGTCTGAAATAGTCAGCATAAGACAGCTTCAGGCAACGGATAGAAAAGTGAACGTCATTCAGATACAATAAACATATGAACGGTCCCAGATGACTGCCTTGAGATACACCAGAAGAAACAGCGAACAGTTGAGAAATGTGATCTATGGGAAAAGTGAAGCATGAAGGGAACCGTGAAAGCCAAGTTTAGCCACTGCAATCTCGTGATTAATTTTATCAAAATCAGCGGAAAGATCGGTGTAGATAACATCCACATGATGACCTCTTTCCATCTCGCGTATCACCGCGTATAATTGCTGTGTATTAAACGAGATTTGTAGCGGTCGATCGTGTTTTTCGCTCGTGATGTAACTGGAGCAAGTGTGTTTTAAATAATCTAGCACCAATAGTTCAAAAAGTTTTGACACTGCACATAAAGCAGTGATGCCTCGGTAGTTGGACATCGACTGCTTATTGCCTTTTTTAAGACAGGGAAAAGAAAATAATCCTTCCAGCCGTCGGAAAAGATCTCAGAATCCAAAGAGAGGGTGAAAATGGATGCTAAAGGTGCGGCCAGGACTCCAATATAGTTCTTAATAACAGCGGAAAGGATTCCGTTGGGGCAAACGCTGAAATAATTTTTCAAACGAATGTCTGCTGTACGAACATTATTACTCGAGATAGGCCGATGCAGCCCAACAGCAAAATGTATGGGAACCTCGCTTACGGCGGCTACTATGTGCTCGTTAGGTAAATTTTCTTTGACGAAGATAATAACAGGACATGAACAGGTCAGCGATTCCCTTCGTATCATACTCCTCTCGATGTGTATTAAACATGGTAGAAGTTAACCCCGATTTCTTCCGTTGATCGTTCACATGGTTCCAGAAGCTCTTGGGATTTGTTTTCAATTTAGTTAGTAGTTGATGCTGATGGGCTTGATTAAGCTGTTTGTTGAGATGCTTATACTGTATGCAAACGAGGTTGTACTTCCTCTTCGACGCCTCCGTTGGAGGTTTACTAAATTTCTTCAAAGCAGCTGGTTTGGATGACTGCAGACGCTTGAGCCGGTACTTGGACCAAAGAGATACCCAATACGAAATAAAATCAGTTTAGAGTGTGAGTTATAGATTCAATATTATTAATCTTGCTTATCTTGTAGACCGTAGAACGTCTAAAATACTTGTAATGTTGCATGGGATTTTATAGTTGAAACTTTGGATGAAATATAATTTGGCCTTGTTCAGGCTATGGAATCAGAGCCCTTAAAAACTGTTGAAGAGGTTAGTTGCCAAATTACTTCTCAAAACAGTATATTGAAAATGCAATTTTCCATCCAAATGTATCTCACTTTTCTCTGGAAAAAAATAAGACTAAGGTAGACTGAAAGTCTACCTACTATAAGCAAAGACGAATTATCTCAATATTAAAAAACAGTGCGATTGAATTTTGTAATCATGATGCCAAACTCACTGTAAACATAAAAAAAAAACCAGGGAAGCATTTCCCTGTACTCACCGCAATGGGCCCATAACTTAAGACAATCACTGAAAATAATGTCACCGATACTCCCTAAGCCGTAATTCAACAGTGACAGTGATGCATTGAGTCGCGTTCAAACTAATTACTGTCAATATTTCTTATCATCACTGAAACATCTTCCCGACCGCAGTTGCTCCTGCATTCACGGCACAGCGAAAACCCCTTTGGAACTATGTCCCGACGGATGACCATGGATCAAACTTATGCGCCCTCTTTCGATTGTCTCTGTCACCGTATACGTTGGGCATAAATTATTTGCTGCACGCAATGGTCTTCCCACTTTCCCAGTCGGACGAAAGATTGCCACCCACACGACCCGACTCGGTAAGACCCTATTTTTAACAGTGGGGTGGGGGTACCATTTGCATGACGCGTCTCATCGTTCCATTTGCGCTTTGTTCACAGTTCATTAATGGTGCGTAGTGGAAACTCATACTTTTATTAAACGATTTTTTGTTCTACTCCGGGCAATCGAGTTGTGGCCACCGGGGCAGGTAATTAAGATTCATTCGGCTCGATAAGCCCCGACAAAACGGTTCTATTTCGAAAGCGTGGTGTTGGTGCACTTACCTTCGTCTTGCTGCCACCGATCGATCCGGGCCTTATCGAACCGGTTTCGTAGAATCGGGTGAGAATTTTCGATACACAACCTGCGAGGGATAATCGACATGAATTACAATTAGAAATATATGCAACACAACGATTTACGGTCGAACCACCTACCATGGGACACCAGAAGCTGGCGGGAAATGTCACAAGGTCGAACGCCCATCAGCGCCAGTTCCACTATCCGTCGGCGGACGATGTCCGGCAGCGGTCTACCGTTGACGAACACACCACCGAGCTGGTTGACACCTGCTTGACCTGCAACGGTACAGTAAAGAAGGAAAACCGGGAATATGAGTCTGGAGTGCCGGCAAAGAACGCTAATTGTGCGGTTGTTGGGAAATATTTAATTCTCTGGCTCCAAGCTGAGGAAACGGGGCCGAATGAATTGGCTGCTCTCTTGGAGATGCGAAAGCGAACATGTTTACTGTCGTTATGGAATGTCAACGCTTTCAATTCTGGTCAATTTGCGCACACACAGCACCCCAATTATAGTGCGGTATTTATTAAACGCAAAAATGCAACAAGCGAGAAATTTTAATCTGTTTGGCAATTAATCGGTTCCCGGCGCGACGGTTCCTGCCGGGTTTTGATGGCTCAATAAACGAAAGCACTGATGAAAATCGGATGGCAGTGTTTGGATGTCTTTGTGCCAGATAACCGTAAGCGTTGTGCACACCATGATGGTGGGTACAAATCTCGGTTTGGGCAAGGATCTTTAAATGTAGGAATTTTTTTGACGATTGGAAGAAGTGTTTTCACTATTTTGGCATCGATTAATAGGGTAGAAAGCTTTTTTACGCTTCTTATAGAGAATGGTATACATATCGCGTGGAAAACTGACTTTTGATCCCAGGCCCGAAGGGCAAATATGTCATATACTATACGTTTTTTTCTTTCTTCTTCTTCTTCTTCGTATTTCAAGCTTATTGCATATCGCATATTAGCTTATTGCGTGCTCCCAACTTAGTGTTCTAGATGCACTTCCACAGTTGTTAATTGAGAGCTTTCGATGCCTATACCATTTCTGCATAAGTATAATTGTGTGCCAAGTACAATCATACTCTACGCCCAGGGAAGTCAAGAAATTTTGCAACCCGAAAACTTCCTAGACCGGACCGGGAATCGAACCCAGCCACCTCCAGCATGGTCTTGCTTTGTAGCTGCACCTTTACCGACTGAGCTAAGGGAGGTCCCACTACTATTTGATTCCTCTCGATTAGATCAGAAAATAGCTGTATGTGTTTATGTGTGTTTGTATGTTTGATTGTGTGTAAATTGTATCCCCTTAGGCATAAATACGTTAGGTATTTTTCAAAGATTTTCTGTGATTTTTCACAAAAAAAAAATCGTTGAAAAATTACAGGAACTGTGAAAAATCACCGAACTGTTTACCGAACGTTCAGTTGTTGAAATTTCGGTAAAATAATCCTAGTGTGTGGGTAGATGGTACGTACTCTTATGTGCAGTAAGGACTTGTAAAAATCTGGGTAAACCAGTTTTTTATGATGAGTAGAATCTACCAAGATTCTGGGTTAAATGGTTCTTATCGCATGATTCTTAAATTTAGAATGGCGCCGGTATAAAAGGGAGATTTTCACACTGTCTAAACATCCTACAGCCGTTATTCTGAACGACACTTCATGCACATTAACGGGGTTTATTTTAAATTTAAACTTCTAGTAACCCTATGACTATCAGAAATTTGAGTATCTGGTAGCCTTATTTGCTGTTTTGTTTTGATTCTGCGTTCCGTTTCGCATCGTTCTATTTCGCTTTACTCCATTCCATGTGGTAGATGACGTTTGAGTAACGTTAAGACTGCATGGCGTATGGAGGTTTTGGCCAAATACCGGCAAATCTAGCTGGCCAAAACCCATGTTTTAAAAAGAGGACTGACTGTCAATGAAGTAGTGCATTGGACACGTTAATAATAGGTGAATAATACCCTATACTTGTTTTTCTCTTTTTCGTTTCTCTTCGCTTGCTGTAGCACTTCAAAGTTGACTTTCGAATTGGTCTTATGATATCGTTCAATTTGGTTTCGCGTCATTGAGGACTCTGTTTCACTTATCAACTCAAGTTATTTTTTTGAAAAGACATCTAGGATAGACTCTATTCCGGCAGGTTATTGAGAACATATTAATTCGAATCAAGCATGAGTTATTAACGGAGTTGTAAATAAGTAGCAAAAAATGCAAAAATAGATAAATTTGTTGTGTATACGGGTGGATTCGGACGATGTGAATTTGTAGAAGTTGATGCAAGTTATCTTTACGTATCGTTGCCACAACAAAAAACCCTGCCCCTAATTACCTGCTAACGTTGCAGGTATTTTTTTTTATAGCTCAATTCGATTTTTTTTTTGATGAAATTCATATATAATTGCATCAAAACTATACATTTTTTAAACTTTATGTGTTTCACAATAATCTCGTTTGTTTAAGCTGTGCCAAAATGTCAGCGCAATTGGTCATAACAGAACAAAGTTACAAAATGTCAAAGTTGGCTAGTTTGTATGAAAATCGTGCTATTTTATTGTCCGCAGTTTGAAGGTTGTTTACTGTACGGGTAAACACTTCGTGGATATCTTTCAAACTAACAACACCACTGAGCATACTGGAAATAGTATCCATAGCCCATTGCTGAAATTATACTGATCCAAAATAAATATGAAAAAGCCAGAGATTACCTGAGAAATGTTTTGTTTTCTATCTTTTAAACTAACATTGAAGGTCACTAAATCCTCAGGTTAAATTTTAATGAAAGGGTAAGAAGAAATTTTGGACGCCATAATTGTATAAAACCCCATAAGGAATAACATAACTAAGTACACGAAATTTTGTTACTCCTCAGTCTATGGACTTTGAGTACAAGCGAGCGTAAGCAGAGCAGATTACGTTTGTGCAAGATGGATCAGTTCGGTCGACAATCAACAGAATAATTATTTCTACTGCTGATGCTGCTGGTGCACATTTGAAGCAGTACCTACACTGTTTCGTATACTGACGCTGCATACGATCAAACTGCTTATTTTATTTATTGAGTGTATACTTGAAAACCAGAATAACTCACTGCGATAATCGATTTTACTCACGTTCTGTACATTGAACATATTTAGTGTCGGAAGTAGTGCGATGTATAGCGCATTATTATGCGATTACTATCAATTTTGGCTTTCTACTGTACCGATAAAGTCTGGAACGCGCAAAAATTGGTCAACTTCAAATTGGTGTATTTCTGTTAAAAATGCATAAAAGACCTGAAATTCTGATTTGGAAGTTGAGTGTATATACCGTTCCGATTCAAATTTCGGACGATTCAAATTTCGGACACTTTCATTTTTAATTAAATATTACATCCAGTTAGAAACAAAGTAATAATGTTAGATGATCGTGGAGGGCACTAGTCAAAAAAATTTAAAATTTACAAGACATGTGGATCATATTCGACCGAGATAATCAACTTTTAAAAGTGTCCGAAATTCGAGTTTAAGTGTCCGAAATTTGAATCGGCACGGTACAATGGTTGCTATGATGAGTTTTCACCGTTTGCTCTCCAGTTTTCAAAATGACCTCCAAGCAAGAGGAGCAGTGCGTCAAAATTTTGCTCGCGCAGCAAGAGAATCCGACGTTCTCAGACGCCAAGTTGGCAAAATTGCTGGATGTGGACAAATCAACCGTGGCAAACGTTTTAAAAGTGTTCGGTGAGCGTCTGTCGTCTTCCAGGAAGCCTGGAAGCGGCGGCAATCGTAGTCCGGACGTGGCAGTGACGACGAAGAAGGTGGCGGTGAAATATAAGCGGAAACCTAACCTCTCCATCCGGGACGTCGCTGGCAAGCTCAATGTCTCCCATACTACTGTGCAGCGGGCCAAGAAACGAGCCGGGTTGTCGACATTTAAGAAGGTGAAGGTGGCGAACCGAGATTACAAACAAAACACGTCGGCAAAGCAGCGGTCCCGAAAGCTGTATACACTGATAATGTATTTTCGTTATTTCTCTGAAAACCGGAAAGGCACTCGAGTGGTACGATGCGACCAACATGGTTGTGGTACCCAAAGACCACAACCCTCCCAACAGCCCAGAACTTCGCCCTTTCGAACGGTATTGGGCCTTGGTCAAACGGAATCTCAAAAAAGGCTAATAAATCCATGGAAAACGAGCAGCAGTTTAAATCTAACCGGCGTTCGGCGGCGAATAAGGTCGATGAGACCACTGTGCAAAATTTAATGGAAGGGGTTAAGCGGAAGGCACGGCAGTTCGGATTTGACAAACCAAAAAAATAAACGAACATTTTTTTTCTTTAAATATATGAATTGAACTACCAAAAGAAAAATGAGAAGATTTTTGTGACATGAATTTTGACTGAAAGAAACGATTTTTTTGTCGACCAATTTTTGTGCGTTCCAGTCTTTATGCTTAATTGAGGATTGCAATGTGGGTCGTTCCAGCTCAAGTGGGTACACCACCTGTGGTCGATGTCAGCGATTTGAGCCAAACTTGGCCAAAATGCTTAATTTGGCATTCTGAACAAACACCTTTTTTGATTTTGCTCTGAAGTGCCTAGATCCCTCTCGGCTTCAGCCCTGGATTTTCGAGATTAAAAAAAAAAGTATGTTTCAGAAGAGATTACTCCTCAACCAAATAAGCTATTAGCAATCTTAGAACGTCAATTTGAAGGTTCTTTTAATTTAGATTCGCATAGGTGTACCCATTTTTTGTTTTTGTTATAGTAAATACAGTAAAAAGACTGATTACCGGCAGGTATCCAAATTGGCCTATTTTCACAATGGGCGGGATTTTATATTTCCTAATATTTCGGGCTCAAATTGTCACCACACTTTGGAAAACTCTTCTACTTGATGTGTTTCCAAGGGTAAATAATTTGGACAAATGGTTTTTGAGATAAGACCAGAGTGGTAGTTTTGAGTTTTTCTGGTGGAAAATATATGCTATTTAATATTTTTATTTTTCTTGAATTGCTTCACGCCGATGGAACATTAATATTTTTATGCTATTGTTTACATGTTCTGGGCAGGATTCTCATTATATAAAATCAAAACTTGTTCATTCATTTAATTCTGTCCATAGTTTAATTGTGGTCCTTAAAGTGAAAAATACGTTCCTATGAGATACTGCCTGAACGTTGTGCCTTAGAAGTACGATGAAATCACATAGATTTGCAAGTATATAAAATTTCAGTTGTGGATGATAGTTGCTACTTGAATAATACCTTTTGATTTGCTTGGATTCAATCT